GTGTCTCTGATGTAGTAGATGTTGTCATTATTAGTTGACGCTGTGGTAAATCTTGTGTCTCTGATGTAGTAGATGTTGTCATTATTAGTTGACGCTGTGGTAAATCTTGTGTCTCTGATGTAGTAGATGTTGTCATTATTAGTTGACGCTGTGGTAAATCTTGTGTCTCTGATGTAGTAGATGTTGTCATTATTAGTTGACGCTGTGGTAAATCTTGTGTCTCTGATGTAGTAGATGTTGTCATTATTAGTTGACGCTGTGGTAAATCTTGTGTCTCTGATGTAGTAGATGTTGTCATTATTAGTTGACGCTGTGGTAAATCTTGTGTCTCTGATGTAGTAGATGTTGTCATTATTAGTTGACGCTGTGGTATATATATTGTTTTAATTCTGTGTAATTTTAGTGGTATATTTCGACCAAGGCATTGATAATGCTGCCCATTTGTGCTTTTTCTATTTTGTAGAACGTATAATACTAGAGAAGGAAGATTTGTTTTAGAAGCATATATTTGACAAACACGCGTTCCTAACAAGGAACCATCGTGTGACAGAGACATCTCTAGCATGGCGATCAAACTGTCATTATATACTGAGATAGGTTTTGAAGACACGGTACATGAATTCGGTCAATTTAAATATAGTTTGATTATCTGATCTCATCTATTAATATGGGTTTAATTAATGTTTTATCTGTATACAGTAATATACACCAGACCCTGGCTAACTGTCAGAGAGCCACGCGGGGTCAGATTTCCTCCAGTCATACAGCTGGCTATTGTTTGTTGTTTACAACAAAACAAACTGTAAACAGTCCTTGTACTACGATGTGTGTTAATATATTAAATCCATTCTTGTGAGCATGGGTATTAATGAATAATACAACAAGTTAGCACACAATATGTTTTAATGCTAATACATTCATCTATGAACGATGTGTATGGATGTTAGAGCTCTGTTATTCATCAATGGTATTGTTGTACTTACCGTGACGTGTTCATGGTTCTGAGGAATTGTAGTATGTATAAATCTACCACAATGACTCTGAGGAACTTTGGTATGGATAACGTTACCACCATGACTTAGACAGACTGTAATACTTAAAATGTTACCACAGCAGAGAGAGAGAGACACTTAGAGAAACCTTTATATTTATAATGCAACTAAAATAATTTAGAGAGAGAGAGATTGATATTTATAATGCCACCTAAATGATACAGAGAGAGACGAAGCGAGATTGTAATAAACAGAAACGTAGAGACACTGGGATATTTATAATGACACCACATTATTTTAGAGAGACTTACATACATTATCACAATAATGTTACCATAATGATTCGGAAAAATATGATATGATAAAGAAATCACACACACACATATATATAAAGTATAACTTTTAAAGAAGAAGGGTCTATAGCAATTTGTAAGAAATTGGCCCAACACCTTTTGTCTTTTGTAAATGAATACATTATAGAGAGGGTGATATTAATAATGATCTCCTGATGACTGAAAGAGACTATGGTATTTAATATCATATCCATTTATCATTTGTATGTGAAACTGGCTTTGGTTGAAGTAGTTGATTTTGAACGATCTATGGACAGAATGGATTAATACATTGATTGATGTATGACGATATAACTCAATAGTCGATACATTAAGACACCAACACGAACGAAAAGGAAATGCTGGATGTCATTGTTAATGAAATAGAGATTTTATGTACATGTTTGTATCCATCCATATAATCACCAACACAGTATTTACTATCCCAACATTATACCTACAATAGTAGGTACCGCCTCCTCCACCAATATCGTTAATTATACAACCGTATCTGGTTGAAGGTGGAATTTTGATATCTAAACAGATGTGATATCTCTTATAGATATGTATTTATGTTGGTACTTTTGTATACCTATTGTCATAGTTTATACTCGTTGTCATAATTAATTTCTCTACGTATGAAATAGAGATGTAACAATTAGTCCTCATATGTACAGTATAGTTAGCATACTGCTGCTTTATTATAGTATTATCGAATGTCAAAATGACATATTGTAATTAAATACATGTTTAAGAAGATACATTGTTATATTAACTACATATTTTATGTCCATTCACCTGTCTTTTTGGCAACTCTACTGTGTTTTTTTCTGTTATCCCATGCGGACCCAGACAACCGTCAATAGGAATATTATTTTATCACTCACCTCTATATCGACACAAGTACTTACGGAGGATGTTTCGCATACTTAAATGTTTTTAAACCCCACACTGGCTAGTATCGTACAATAAGCACATAATAAAACACAGTATACATTAATGTACGATTTCATTCCAGCACAAACAAATGGAGTCTATTGACAAAAATATTATCGAGTAAACAAGATGATAGCGCAAATTTGATATGTTAGTATATAATAGAAGTGATATCTAGAAAAAGTCATTAATACATGCAACACATTCGGATATAAATCAAACGTACCCCATGGTCTCCATGTGTTCCTTGTACACCTGGCCAAATCACATCTAACCTGTAAAATCGCACCAGACAGGTCTGTTAGTATGACACTATGTATAGGTACTAGGCCTCGCCTCAGTGGAGACACACCCTGATAGACTCGCGAGTAGACATACCAAAAACTATACAGCCGACTTGTTCCTACAATAAAGCTTATAGCTATTCTGTATTTCAAAAACCGAAAACGATTGTTTTATATATTCTTTAAAAATGGCGATATAAAGGCGGTCAGTAAAGTTACAAACGTCTGTCTATGACGGGATACCAACCCGTCGGTGTCACCAAGTGATGTTAAGTTGACAACACCTGCTGACTGAGACGTGTAGATAGCCAGGTCGATTCCCGAGATACTAATTAGCGTACCACGGTAGGGGTATATACTCCTCAATTAAACACAACACAAAGTCCCACTGATAAGTGTAAACGTTGTTACCGATCACGATATTACCGGTCGAATTTAAATCGCCTATCATAGGATTTCATTTTAACTTTTGTCCATCAGACAAAAAGCTAATGGATATGTATAGCATTGCTGTCGATTATCAAACGGTCGAGGCGGGCGAGTACAAACTGCTCGTGGATCTGATCGTTTGAAGTCGATTTCTGTTCTCCTTTTATATCAATATAATTGATATATATCCATTATCATACTAATTCTGTTCAATGCGAGAGATATTGAAACATTTACCCTGTCGAAGGTTTAACCAATGCTCAAAGTCTGCAAGATCAACAAACGATATTGAAAAAAATAAAACGAAAAGAAAAAACAGAAACAAAAACATAATGTTCATAATATCAGTATTTATGTAGAAAAGAAACAGATAAACAACAAACTCGGTATTGCAAGTCAATAAATAGACATCAACAGGAACTGAGGAAATATTAACACGAACGCATGACTCCCCACTTCAAAATAAACGCAAACAAGGAGGACTGGAATGGTTTCCTGCACCGCATGTGGTACCCGTGCTGGTTTCTCCCTTCTAGTCCAGGGAAGTAAGGTAACTAACACAGGATACAATCACCACGCCATTAGTCACGTAAGCCACCGAAATATAAGGTCACACATTGTAAAGGTGACCGTTCACTTAGAATTATCCATGTTGATTATCTTATTGATCAAAAGGGCGCAATTATAGAAAACACCATTGTCCTTGTTATATGCGTGTATCCTAGTGTACCATAGAGTTTTGACTTTGCAGATTCTAAAAAAGAAAAAAGGTCCAGTCTGTCCCACTACTTGTTTTCGTAAACGCCGACTACTTTGGACCAATCTGCTTTTATTTTTAAATATTATGTTTTCTGTTTGCCTGCTCAGGGGGTATTGAAGAAACTAAAATTGCTCTGCTCAATGCATCACGTGGGGCCTTTATGTGTTTCTATCCTACTGACTTTTTCTATTAGGTGGTGTCTCCCTAGGTACCCGTCTCCACATGATTTTAGGTGGTGTGATGACCTTAACCCCTGGTGGCGAGGAGCATGATTAATGTTAAATGTAATGTTAATGTTTGAAACAAATGAAGGGAAATTGTGGTATATTTAATTGCAACATCTGCAGCGTCAATACATACGTGTCGTTATGTTAATTAATGTCATTCATAATGATTAACTTAGTTTATGTACTGATGTTAAAATGGATACAAAATGCATTTAAGCTAAAGAATCAAGACAAAAATATGACACAGCGTCAGCAAATCAAGAACAAAATGTACCACCACATACAAGTACAAACTGTACCATGGCGTCAACATACAAATACAAACTATACCATGGCGTCAACATACAAGTACAAACTGTGAAGTCAAGAGACTGTCGATATTTCAGCACTCTTTATTCCATTCAAACCCCCCGGAGAGGGTGGAAACTACAAAACAAAAACAATGACACACTAAACACAATGTTCACAGCTTTCACCGTAATTAAATGACAGAATGATTAAATGACATAAATGTTAACCAAATGTTCACAAAATGTCCGCATATGCACGATCTTAATCGACTGTATCACTTATATATTTAGATTATATGTAATCCGAACAGAAACTATCAGCTTAATACACTATACACACAGTTTATACTTTTACCATGTTACGCTTTGTTAAAACGAAAGTAAGTCAACAACGCGCACAGAAAAACGAGAATTCTATCACTATTAAAAATACTACGACGCTGACATGAAAGTAATCAATTAACGATAACTCATTTACATGATTTACACAAAATCTATCAAAAACTTACTCCTGTGGGGGGCTGGAATCCCTAAAATTGCCTGAGCAAATTTGTGCATGGACTACCACGGAAATCATAACAAGGTAACTAAAATAAAAGCCTGCTGCGAACCGGCGCGGAGCCGGAATTCCGGAACTCGTAACAGAGTCACTACACTCCCCCTCTGATTTCTACCTGAAATCACTTACAATATTTAGAACACTCAAGGAATTTAAGAAAAGTCAAAATACGACAACTAGCACAATTAAGTTTAGTTCACTTCTAAGATTGTGACGAGTTGTGACACAGGCCTAACATACGAAACACGCTTATCGTCTTTTACCACAGTCAGTTCAACTTTCCTGACTCTCCCGTCTTCACTAGGAAAAGTTCTCTCAACAATGCCCATCGGCCACTCGTTACGACTACAGTTCTGATCCTTCATGAGAACCACATCACCAGACTTAACATCGCGACAGTCCTTAGTCCACTTTTTACGAGTCTGGAGAGTTTGCAAATACTCCGTTCTCCACCTACACCAGAATTCCTCTGCAAGAACTTGTGCATGCTTCCAGTGCGATTTCAACATATCCTTCTGACCAAAAAGAGGAAAAGGTCCTATGTCGGCCGCGGTTTTCATGGTGAGCAGAGATGAGGGTGTTAAGACGCAAGGTGATTCAGGATCACTTGACACAGGAAGTAAAGGCCTATTGTTTACTATGGCGCACACCTCAGCCATAAAAGTCACAAGGATTTCGTGTGTTAGATCTTTGTGTTTGTTTTGAAGAAGCATCGAATCGAGTATCCGGCGCGACACACCGATGAGACGCCCCCATGCTCCTCCCATGTGTGAGGCATGGGGAGGGTTGAATATCCACTTGGCATTAGACCTTGAGAGAAACTGAACCACAGGAGGCTTCTCTATGAACTTAGCATCAATGGAAAGATCTTCTATAGCTCCGACGAAGTTAGTGCCACGGATAGCCACAAACCTCCTGAGAGCGTTGATAAAGGACGAACTAGATAACTCCTCAATCACTTCAATATGAATTGCCCTAGTTACTAAGCAAGAAAATAACAGGGCCCAACGTTTCTGATTCGCGGCACCTCCCCTAGTACGACGGTACACAATCGGCCAAGGTCCGAATGCGTCGACCCCAACATACGAAAATGGAGGTGCTGGTTTGAGTCTGTCTACAGGTAAGTCCGCCATGTGTTGCCACCCTAAGTGACCTCTCAACTTACGACACACGATACACTTTGCAATTTCAGAAGAAATGAGACGTTTGGACCCAACTATCCAAAACCCTGCTGAACGTACCGAACCTTCCGTGAAATGTCGTCCTTGATGCCAAACTTTCTGATGGTAGAAACGAACCAAGAGGACAGATATATGATGATGTTTGGGCAAGATGATAGGATGACGATGTAATTCATCAACAACGTTGCAGTTCTTAAGTCTAGCAAGTCTACCTCCCACACACAATAGTCCATCAGAGTTTAAGATAGGTGCCAAAGGTAGCAGACTGCTATCTGCAGGTGGGTGTTTTCCTTCCTGAATGGCATTTATCTCGGCACTGTAAACGTCCTGCTTAACAGTTTTTATAATGTACTGTTTTGTCTCCTCCAGAAAACTTGGATCTGAACGGCTGCCTAGCGATCCAGAATCCTCAGGCAAGTGACAACGCCTAGCAAAGTTCTTTAAGTATGCTATGGCACGAACAAGACTTCCCCAGTCAGAAAACTTGTTGAACTTGGCAACAAGTGCTGATTTGCTGTTTCCAGTCACCTCGGTCTTGCAAGTTTGTAACTCAGGCAAAACATCTTTGTCCAAATCTGGGTCGATCATAGGGTACGGAACAAATTCCCGCGACTCTGACATAAGGAACTCTGGGCCTTTAATCCACCTATTTTTGTATAGGTTTGCAGCGTCAATAGAACGAGTGGCAATGTCGGCAGGATTTTGATCAGAAGTAGCATAGTTCCATTGACTGGGACGGCTCGTCCTGCGAATGCGACTGACTCTATTCCCAACGTATACATACAACCTGCGGGTCTCATTTGTGATGTATCCAAGCACGACTTGGCTATCGGTGTAGTAATGAAAAGAGTCCGAGTCTAATCCGAGCTGCTCCTGTATGATGTCAGCAAGTTCTACAGACAAAACCGCGCCACAAAGTTCGAGACGACGTAGTGTGTCCACTTACTGGTGCTACCTTGCTTTTGGCAAGGAGAAAACTAACGTCCACAGAGTCCTCACTGTACAATTTGAGGTAGGCGACAGATCCGATAGCATCTTTGGATGCATCTGAGAATATGTGCACTTCACGACCTGTAGCATTGGAAATTGAAACTTGGCTGTATTTTCGTGGAACACGAAAGTCCTCCAAATGGGTTAAAGACTTCACCCACGATTCCCATTCATGTCGAAGAGACTCTATTAGCGGATCGTCCCAACCTTGTTTCTTGGTAGATGATATCATGTCTCTCATGAATAATTTACCTCTCAGAACAACAGGTGCAGCAAGTCCAAGAGGGTCATAAAGGCTATTAATTGTAGATAGAACACCCCTCTTTGTATACGGTTTGGCACTTTGACACTTTGAACGTAAAATCGTCTTTCTCGGTGTCCCAAAGTAAACCCAAACTTCTCTGTATCGGAAGAGATTCTACTCCGAGATCCAGATCCTTTAAGTCTTTGGCAAGATCATTCGGATCAAAGGAATCCAGAACCTTCCTGCTATTTGAAGTGAACTTGTGCAGCCGTAGGTTGCCACCGTCATGTAGTGCTTGCTTTGCCTTATGAACCACTTGTATGGCTTCCTCCTCATCAGCACAGGAGAGAAGTCCATCGTCAACGTAAAAGTTGTTGTTTACCAGATCCTTTACTGCTGGATCGGCACCTTCCACAGACCTGCGCATGCCGTATGTCGCTACGGCCGGAGACGGGCGATTACCGAAGACGTGTACGGTCATCCGATAATCGACTAAAGGCTGCTCTGGGTTATTGTCCATATGCCACAAGAACCGTAAGAAGTCCATTTGGTTCTCTGGAACCTTGAAATTGTAGAACATCTGTTCTACGTCCATCGTCACTGCGACTGCCTCTCTACGAAATCGCAGAAGAATCCCAAGTAAGCTACTGCAAAGATCAGGACCCTTGAGCAAGACGTCATTGAGTGACACATCTTGATATTTGGCAGATGAGTCAAATACCATCCGGATTTTGTCTGGCTTCATAGGGTGATAAACACCGAATAGTGGCAAATACCATCTTTCGTTTGAGGTTGGTATTTCTGGGGCAAGTTCAGCATGTCCGTTTTTGAAAAGATTCTCCATAAATTCCACAGCGTGGTTACGTTTAACAGGGTTCAGCTGAAGGCTGGCATCAAAGGACTTTGCTCGACTGAGAGCAAACGGCTTGTTGTTTGGCAGTACTGGACTTTTCTCACGAAATGGCAAAGGGGCTGTCCATTGACCAGTATCCGTTTTCGCAAAGCCAACATCCATGATATTGAAGAAGACCTGATCTTCAATCGACAAACCTGGCTTTTCATCTCCGCTGGTTTTCTTAAAAACTGAATCGCACTTTACAGTAATGTCACTGTCGCAGAGTTCAAAAAGTGTAGGACGTCCACTGTTGAGCACATTGGTTTTATTTACATTGACTACCTCAGCCGTATGCACCTTTCCAAGGCACACCTCGCCAATGATGACCCATCCAAGAGGCAAGCGTTGAGCGTATGGTAGACCATTTGTACCAATTCGATGGTCCAAAACATGATGGGCTTCTATTAGGTCTCTGCCGATCAAAAGTTCAATATTAGCTTGCTGGTCAACTTCAGGTATGTGTGAAGCAACATCCTGTAAGTGGGGGTAAGTAGACGCAACTACAGGCGAAGGTATCTCACTACGATTGTTCGGAATGTCATTGCACTCAATAATTTCGGGTAGATTCAACGCACGAGTTCTATCCAATGACTCTACTACGTACCCTGTCGCTCTACGTCCGGCAGTCACAAACTTACCCGCACAGGACGACAAAATATACTCAACGTCCTTACTGTTGTCCCCAAAGGCGCTGAAGAAGTCTGAAACAGCAAGGGATTTATTGCTCTGATCGTCTATCATGCAATAAATCTGTCGGGCACGATGGCGTTGGTCTCGAGGATACACCTTCGCGAGCACTATTTTGGCGCAGGATTAACTAGTGTTTAAAGGTGAATTGCAAATTTCGGTACAAGCATTGTTAATTTCAGTCTTCTCCTCCCCCTCGTGCTTCTGCTCAGGGACAAAGTTTGAATCTGGGTGGAGGGCGGAAGGATGGTCAGACGACTGACAAACGTCACATTTTACGGTCTCTTTGCACTTCTTACGAAGATGTTTCACGGATCCACAGCATCTGAAACAATAACCTTTCAGTTTTATGAAGTCCCTTCTTTCTGACAAAGGTTTTGCACGAAATGCACGACATTTATTCAGAGTGTGACCTGTACCATGTATGGGACAAACAAGCTTAGCGTTATCTCGTGATTCAAGCCCATCTTTCGTTCCATCAGATGGAGAGCCATTTTTTAGAGCAGCCTCAGTCTTTTTACTGCTTATGTCCATACGTAGTTTATCTTTTGAATTCATCTGCCGAGTAAGTCCTTTACCGGAAAGGTGACCCGGAGGTCGCGGTTCATCAAACACGAAACTTGGATCATTGCGCACCCTGGCTATGTCACGCAGAAACGATGAAAAGAATGAGAATGGCGGGAAAGCCACAGAATGCCGCTGTTTGTATTTGTTGGCCGCATTAATCCACTTCTCCTGAATACCAAACGGCAATTTCTTGACGACAGGATTGACCCCAGCTGAAGAATCGTAGTAAGCGAACAAAGCACTGAGTCTAGGTTCAGCTTTGGTGGACTCAATCTCAGCTACGAGATCTGCTATTTCATACAACTGTTCTCGGTTTGCATTATTCAGTTTGGGAAAAGTTTCAATCCTGTGTCTAAGTGCAGCCTCCAAAGACTCCGGGCTTCCAAAGCGGTTGTCCAATCTTTGCCGTAGAAGTCTGACTGCTTTATCTAAATCTTGTGTATTTGCACAACGAATGTTAATGGCTTGTTGTTTTGAGTTTGGCCCTAGACTTTTCACAAGTAAGTCTAACTGCTCTAACGGGGTTGCGTCGATCTCACTCAATATATTCCTAAAACTTGCTTTCCAATAAGCGTAATGAGCGGGCTGGTCGTCAAACACAGTTAAACGCGAAGTGAGCAAGTCTTTTTTCGCAAGAAACTTAGCAACCGCAGTGTTATCCAGCTTGGTTTGTGTTGAATCTGGGACAAATTGACGAGCGTTGGGATTCAGTTGAGTGACCACAGGCGGCGGTGGAGCACGTGGTGCTTTGGTAACTGGTATGTCATCATACTTATGTATCGGTGCAACTATGGGCGCATCTCGGTGATAATTAGCAGGTTGCATACGAGCTCTCTGATCCTGAACAAAATCTGTAGTCCGCTTGCTAACATAAGAGGGATGTGACCGTTCACTGCATTTGTCTTTTGTAGACGTAAATTCGAGCACTTGTTTTACTGCGTTCAAACTTGACTCAGCAATATCTAGTTCTTGCTTAATTTTCAGTGTTGACTTTTGAGCTTTCAGTTCTGCTTCTCGTCGCATGAGACTAGCTTCCTCTTGCGCATATTGAAGCTTAATTTTGGCTTCTTCAACTTTAGGTAACTAAAATAAAAGCCTGCTGCGAACCGGCGCGGAGCCGGAATTCCGGAACTCGTAACAGAGTCACTACACAAACTATACCATGGCGTCAACATACAAGTACAAACTATATTATGGCGTCAACATAAAAGTACAAACTATACCATGGCGTCGACATACAAGTACAAACTATACCATGGCGTCAACATACAAGTACAAACTATACCATGGCGCCAACATACAAGTACAAACTGTACCATGGCGTCAACATACAAGTCCAAACTATACCATGGCGTCAACATAGAAGTACAAACTATACCATGGCGTCAATAACAACTGCAAACTATACCATGGCATCAACATACAAGTACAAACTGTACCATGGCGTCAACATACAAGTCCAAACTATACCATGGCGTCAATAACCAGTGCAAACTATACCATGGCGTCAACATACAAGTACAACCTATACCATGGCGTCAATAACAAGGGCAAACTATACCATGGCGTCAACATCCAAGTACAAACTATACCATGGCGCCAACATACAAGTACAAACTGTACCATGGCGTCAACATACAAGTACAAACTATACCATGGCGTCAATAACAAGTACAAACTATACCATGGCGTCAACATACAAGTACAAACTATACCATGGCGTCAACATACAAGTACAAACTATACCTCAGCANTACAAGTACAAACTATACCATGGCGTCAACATACAAGTACAAACTATACCATGGCGTCAACATACAAGTACAAACTATACCATGGCGTCAACATACAAGTACAAACTATACCATGGCGTCAACATACAAGTACAAACTATACCATGGCTTCAACAAACAAGGTTAAAATAACACAGTGGCTACAAAAACGATGTTTTGCGCAACAATACATCAATTAAAGTGTGAGATAAAATGTAAACATAAAAAGTGATTACAAAAAGTGTAAGGAATTACATACTAAATACATAGCTTATCAGTAATTAACGAAACACTTGAAATAAGAAATGATATCAAATCAAAAAGGACGATCTTAGTTTTCTAGAAAGTGTACATATGTCCAGACATACTAGAAAGTATACATATGTCCAGACATACTAGAAAGTGTATAAAAGACCAAACATATTTAAATTTCATGCATTATTCAATTATGTAACACAACATGAATTAATATCATTGGCTAAATTCCTTACCGATATTAATGAGATAATTGATTTACAATACTAATGTCCATCCTGTTCCACAATGTATTATTGTCACCAATTTGTTTATATGTATTCCATTCACTGTATTTTCTATGAGAATAAAACAATTGTCATTGACATTGTAAAGGTTACAAGTGAACTTATTTATTAACAGCAATATATCTTAACAAAACAAAAACATTGTAACAGTTCCAAAAGCATGCAGGTGCGGTTGAAGTAAAATCCAAAAACAAACAACTCCACAGCGTTATCATACACGTATGTGGACAATAGCTGAAACTCATTGCCGAGGAGCAATACAACAACCAGAACAATAATCTATAAATTAGGGGTACGGTGTCATGACTAAAAATCACAGAAAACTCAGAGAACGCATCAGAAATGAAGTACAACTTTACCCCTAACAATAGACACAATATTAATTAATTAATATGGTGTTTAGGAACATAATCTTTTCTGACATTTGTATTTACCTCTGTAGTGTGTTCCAAGATCCAAGATTAATATCGAAGTTTGTATTGCTTGGACGTTAATTGTAAATGCCCATATATATAGTAACATAGAATGAGACCAACGTTATATGTAGAGGACATGCTCGTTACCAGTTATATATATAGTGCTTATTGTATATATATAGTGATTATTGTATATATATAGTGATTTATTGTATATATATAGTGATTATTGTTATAGTGATTATTGTATATATATAGTGCTTATTGTATAAATACATGTATAGTGATTATTGTATATACAGAGTGATTATTGTATGTATAAAGTGATTATTGCACAGGTAAATACACAGCAGTACAGGTGAACCGATTACTAACAACATAAAGTCAGGTAGATGTAACATTACGTGATGTCTTACTGGGATATATACCGGGTCAAGGTCAACTTCTAAACCGGTCTCTTTAAATATGTTGTTCACATATTTCCATTACCTCTTTTCTTTGTGGAAAGGATTATTTCGACCTTTTGGTAGAATTGATCTTAGTTGAAACACATCGTCAATACTCCAGGACAAAGGCTGACATTATAGGCATAGGATACGTTCGGTTTTGATATTCGGACGACTGTATTAAAACAGTCCAGTACGCTTTTGTCCGTTGTGTATTTCTGATAATTGAAGTAGGATGATTTACTTTGAACATTTTGCGATACAATCAATAAGTATGTCAGGACGTGTTGTATTAACACTATTTACTCTAGTATAAATATATGATAAATTCCTCGCATTATACAGGTATGGTATGTAGGTGCTGACTGTACGGATCGAAAGGCGAGTTAAAGCCAATGTACTTACTGTGGTCAATAGAATGTGAAATTTATAAACGAGGTTTTATGCTGATGTTTTGCTATGTTTGTATTGCTACTGTCTATATAAATAGACTTGTCTCTTTTTCTAATAGTGTTTATTTACCAAACAAGAATGTATGTTGCCGGCTCAGATTGAGACGTAAGAGAACATGTATAAGTATATCTTACAGCAGATGGATTTACACAATCATTATATCACCCATACAATGGGTGAATTCAAAGACCTATATGAAGCACAAAAGTTCCTTAAGATATTTTTCTTGCTTACTATAATTTTTCCAAAGTATGACTCTTCAATGTTTCTTCGCTGTGGCGATGAGCCTGTGGTAAAGTAGATTTGTATGACTCTTCAATGTTTCTTCGCTGTGGCGATGATCCTGTTGTAAAGTAAAGTTGCATCCAGAAATATTACGTGGTTTTGTCGTTGTATCTAGATAAAATCGATGGGATGGCCTTCTCAGACACAGTTTGTCAGATTTTCGATCTGACTGATCTGTCTTGCGTCCAAACGCGACATTTGGCGCCGAATTCCAATCAGTGAAATATTCATCCACGCGAATGAACAAATAAAGCACGAGTAACTTGTCGTTAAATGTATCACGCTTAGATGTTAATCTGTTCACAAAATGATACATATCTATCGCTTCCACAGCAGAACATGCTTGTCATCTTTTTTTAGCAGGGACTATTATCTTTTTTTTCTGCGGAAGCATTAACATGAAGCATTAATAATGCAAAGTCCATATTAAAGTTCGGCTATAGACGGGTTACTTGTAAACTAGAAGGTAAAGAAACATCCGAAGCTCAGCTTGTGTGTCATTTGGGATTATATTACAGACTCATAGCGCTCCACTGAGATAACCGGACGTCCCTCAGTTACACAGGTTATACA